CTCTGTGTATACTTTATTGCAGAAGATATACAGAACTTTGCAGTAAAAACTATAAAGTCTATCAATCAGTGGAGGAAAGATCTATTGCTTTAAAGTATTGCTTTAAATTGATGGTATTTCCATAATGTATCTTTTGATAAAAATGGAATTAAATGTTAAAGGCACGGGATTCTGATTATAAACAAGCTTAATGATTTTCTGAGATTGAAGAATGTGCCATTGACATATTTTTAGGACACAGAATTATAACAGCAGATATATTTACATGTTGACAATTTATATTTTTTCTGTATTTATTTATAAAAGATACCATTGTAGTAGCTGCCTGTTACAGCAAGATCATGTAATTCAAGTCCTGTAACAAGGGTTCTCTGTAACCAGAGAACCCTTGTTTCATGAAAACTGATGGCAGATCAGTGATGATTTCATAATTAAATATTTGGAGGAGACTATAGAAATTGGAGGGATTTGGTTCCCATTTGCAAATAATTGATATTAAAATTGAGTACTGAGGTACTGAATTTAAATATATTATTTAAATAGTATATTTAAAACAAAGTGTGTATATTTCTACAAATATATAATGTGTATTAATTCATTATGCACGTAAATTCATGTTTTTAATCCCATTATTCCAAAGCATATTCATTGCTCAGGCCACCGTACTCAAGGGGGTGGGTTATAAATAGTGGAGAAAATACTTGGTATGATTCTATTATAGCTGGATATTTGACCTAGTGACAGGCGTAATGTTCACATGACATGTGAAACCAGATTATGCAAAGTCTTAGCAGGAGCAGTTGCTCAATATGCTTGGTTAGTATTAACCTTTGTTTAGTATTTCATGGGTTGGAAGAGGATATGAATCTAATTCAGTTACTTAGTTGGTGGAAAAGATAATAACTATGTCAAGAATGTTGCATGAAAGCAGCCAATGTATCTGATGTGAGGACTGTAAACTGCTAAAATTGATAAACTGTAAATTCTTTGGCCAACATAAGTTTAATAATTCATTTTCTAAAGCTGCTTCTTCTCTTGATCCTTTTGCTTGTCTCGTTTTACTAGAAACAATAGAAACAATAATTCATATCCATGATGTAATCAATGCAGTTTTTCTCTTTTTCTTTCTACAATAAGATCTTCTGGAGATAACTCCAATATAGCTACTGTCTTTAATCACTTAAAAAGGCAATAATTCAATTATAGTAGCCTCTGAGTAGCAATTGCCATTGCCTTTGTGTTCACTTCCAGTCCCTGCAAGTAAATTACTTCAATAAGATTCTCCCTCCATTCTTTACTCACATTTGTTCTACAGAGACTGCATATAAAATATTAGCAATATTGCAAGGACAAAACAATTCTGTACTTTAGTTAGGAACAGAAGGAGGGTGGGATTTCATTGTAATGATATATTGTACCCCTTTTTTATGCTGAACACAACACTGAATGCACTATTTTTTGTGCCATACTGACATGAATGGGGATGAACAACAGAGATATCTGCTGAACACTAGATTTTAAATAGCATTGGTTAACTGGATTATCTAGGATGGCACAAATAGACCATTGTGCATCAGCTCAGATTGTCTTTGGGAAATCTTGCTAGCTAAAATAGTTTTGTTCATAAACAGATCAACAGATCAACTCGTTAAATAATTCCTGCTTCTTAAAAGTTGTCATTATAAGCACCATTTTGCACCCAGTCTTAAGAGAAAACTCATTATCCTGTTGGATTCATTTCCATCACTCTCAGTTATTAATAGTTTCAGAAATACTTTTGCCCATTAGAGCTTGTTTGGTAATATGAATTATACGGCAAACAAAAAAAGCCACCTTAAGCAGTACATAATACTGTACTTACCTTAAGTCAAAGAACATTTAAATTCATGAGAGCTTAACATTGCAGGAAGTGTAAAATCCATAGCAATTTAACCTAGGATTGGAAAATTCACAGCTAGTTTTCTGCATGTTTGCTGCTATCTGGTGGCTATTCAGATTTTTGCATGCTCCACTCTGGTAGCTTTGTTATGTCCTCCAAATCCACATAAGTGTTAGTTTTGTTTATTTAAAATTAGCTTTATTTTTTAATGTATTTATAATTTATGTTTATTGTTTTGAATGACTAAAGGAATCAGGATGTGGATTACAAAGGGATGAAAGTCTTTCATGCAAACTATGTTTCTTCAAGGCACTGACCATGGAAGTCAATCCTTGAAAGAAGACCTTCAAAATTAATTTCTTTTCCATGGCTTTAGTTTTCCTTTGAGTTGATCTATCTATCTATCTATCTATCTATCTATCTATCTATCTATCTATCTATCTATCTATCTATCTATCTATCTCCAGGGCTTTTTTTCTCATAGAATGCCCAGAACGGAGTTCCGGCACCTTTTTTGGATGGAACCTTGTAGAGTAGGCAAGGCGGGTTGTATGACATGTGTGAATTCCGGCACCTTTTTTTTTTTTTAGGAAAAAAGCACTCTATCTATCTATCTATCTATCTATCTATCTATCTATCTATCTATCTATCTATCTAAATAGATACACACATATATGTGTATGTGTATGTGTATATATAATATATATACATATATAACTTGTTGGGGTTTGCAGCTTAGGCATAAATGTTGTGATAAAAACATTTCATCTTCTAAGATGGTACCTGATTTTTTTTAATTAAAAATGCTACAGAAAATAATCAGGTTTTAATAAAATGTAGTTCCAAATAAGAGGAAACACCACTTCAATCTAATTCAAGATGGACAGAAATCTGTGATCTTTCAACTGTTGCTGCACCTGAAATCTCAGCAGTTTGCAAATGCAAGGATGAAAGGCACTGCAGTTCAGCATGATTGATATACAAATAGGGATTCTTTATGGATATTTATTCAGAAGTTAACTGTCCCATATTTATCTGAACTAAGTTCTTCCTCACACAGTAGTTCTTACTCTTAAGTAAATATGCATCTTATGGCCTGCCTTAGGCCATAAGGCTGCAACATTATGCGGTATTTGTGTTTATCAGTACTTAGTTACAACTAAATTATGACAGTTTTCATATCTGAGGCAAAGCAAAATACAATGCTTTTAGGTCCAGTTCAATTTGCAGTTATCTAAATCCAATAAACCAACGGCACCAAGGACAAAACTGTGGCACCTGAAGTTATGAGCAGGTCTCCTTATGCTCGTTATGTAATACCTCCCTGATCTATAAGTTGCTGTGATCATCATGAGGTTTCCAATTCAAAGTGCTGATTATTACTTATAAAGCCTTAGGGGGCATATAGTCTAGTTGTACCTGTGATTGTCCATCTTCATTGGTTTTTGTCCAGCCTGTACAATCTGACCAAATTGCTATACTGTGGATCTCATCAATTAAACATGTCATCTACTGAGGCCTTGGAAGTGTGTCTTCTCTACTGCAGCACTTCTAGAACATCATCTCTGTGGAGATTTGAACTGTTCTTATCCTGCCATAAATGAGCCTTAAAAACTTGGTGCTCTTCCCAGACACTGGGCCAGGATAATTGCTGGAGCTTTTAGATTAGACATAGCATGGAAAAGATGTTTTTTGTTGTCCCCGCTAGTTTCCTCTAGTCTTTTTAGGTGCATTTCTGTCCCACTGTAGGCCACCCATATTTATTTTGGAGTCAGTTGGCCCTAGAAATGTGTTTTATAAATCAATTAATTAAACAATAAAATCCCTTTACTATTCCTCCCCATAAATTGATACTAATAATGTCTGAGATAACTAGTATTTTGCTGCCATTTCCTGATGAAAGTTTAGATGTGAATTTTTCGAACTACTTGATGATGTAAATCTTCATATTGTATTTCTTGCTGTCATCTAGTAGTTGTCTGGATTTATTTAACCCAGAACCTGTAGCTCTTTCAGGAAGATTTGGTATCACATGTTAATGTGATATTAATGAATAACCTGGAACATCGTTACTGATTCTTATGATGTTGTTTTCTGAGCTATTAGATTTCTTTATTTTTATTTAGCATATGGTATCTAAAGAGATCATGAAATCACTGATATACACATTTAGTTTAAATAAAGCATCAGCGTGTTTTAATAAAGACTTTTTTTAAATAATCATTTTTTTTAAAAAAAAAAGCTTTTTGATGAATGGATACTCAATATAAAAAATACAATGAATGCAAAATGTATAAACCAACAGCATAGTTGATGTTCTCATCTTAACAAAGCAGAGAAACAAAGCAATAATAATGTTTTGCAGTTGTATTAGAACTGTCAGGTATTCAGAGAGCTTCACATAATAAATCAGAGGATACTGTATGTCATCATTATAATCCTGTATTAAACAGATAGAATGACTGAGGTAAAGAGAATGAGAGAGAGGCATATAGAGACAGAGACAAAGAAGAATTGCCAATGGCTGTTTAGTGAGTTCATGGCAGTAGTTAAATTTGAAGTTCAGATTTCTAACTATGTTTCATGGCCATTACCACAGCTATTAAACTGTAATAGCTGAGCATTAGGAGAACATGAATGGAAAAGATTCCTTGGAAGCTAGTTATATGTTGATCCTTCTTCTTCTGATTCAGCACAGTACCACTCCCACAGACTGTTAGTTCCAGCCAAAAGACTGCTGTTTGTTCTACAATGCACCATATTTTTGTTTTGCAACCACAATGACTAATATTTTTTTAAAAAAGTTAAAACAGTTAAAAGAAAGTAACAGGCATAGATAACTTCAGCAAACTATGATCACATGTACAGACTTAATGCATTGTTTTCCTAGATCAGAAGAACAGTCATTATGAACATTTTAGTATAGGTTAGTATAGTATGAAATTACAAAGTAGGAAATTCAGAAAGATATTTTGAAAGTGGCCTTATAGAAATATGGAGTAACATTCTTTATTTTATGTCATGTTAATTACATACATGCAGTACACATGAGCAGTAACTGATTAAGTGCAAAGGTAATTTTTTAGTTGGTGTAATATTTAGCATGCTGGTTTTTTTACAGAGAAAGTGTAGAGAGTCTTATACAAAAGCATTCCTATGCTCGATCCCCCATCAGAACCTATGGAGGAGAAGATGAAATTCTGGGAGATGATAACCAAACAACACAAAGCCGAGGTAAGAGGAAGTAAACTTGAAGTACTCCTCAAAGAAACTGCATTTGGAAAATACAGGCATATCCCACTTCCGCCCCACTTCAGCAATGTTGCATCTCTTTGAATGTAATGTCACTTAGTCACTTATTTGCATTCATATCCTACCACTATCTAATTTTTATATCAATTCAATAGCAGACTATTTAGACAGAGTCAAACATTATACCTGTAAGCTATCAAATAATGCATAGCAAGCCTCATATAGGCAGATGACACATTCATTCAATCATATAGGCAGATGGCACAATTTAGAAGAGGAAGAGGGTCTTTTGTAAGCTCTTGCTACTGCATCTTAATTTTAATAAAATGAATACTTCATATTTATGTTTGCTCAAAAGTAAAAAAAAATGCAAGATTGATTCAAAGATATGTACAGCTATATATTCAAAGATATATCAATGCTGTGTTTCAAATATCAATAGGTGATGTGTTTTAAATATCAACAAGTCCAAGGGAGCATATTTCCTTTTTCATCTTATGCTTCCCCAAATTGCAAGGAGCATATAGGTTAACTGTCTTTGTTCAGTTAAGAGGATTTAAGAGCTGTGGTGGTGTAATGGTTAGAATGCAGCCCTGCAGGCTAACTCCTGTTCACTCCAGAAGTTTGATCCTGACTGTCTCAGGGTTGACTCAGCCTTCCATCCTTCCAAGGTTGGTAACATGAGGATCCAGATTGTTGGGGGCAATATGCTGACTCTGTAAACAACTTAGAGTGATCTGGAAAGCACTATGAAACAGTATATAAGTCTAAGTGCTATTGCTATCTAAATATGTTCCAGCAGCTATTAACCTGTTTGAGAGAAATGCTCAAAAGCATAGAGCATCAACAAAGTTTAATTAAGCTTGAGCATTGATTTTTATATATTTAACATTCTTAAATATGTATTTTAAAGGAAGCTTTTCAAATGGTCTTATCCCAACCAAGGGAGATAGATTACTATTTTAATACTTACTTAAAATTTATAATTTTGTCCAAAAAGTAGGGTCTAACCTTAATTTTCTATGATGAGTTGGCCTATAAGCTTCTGCAGTAAAGATATTTTCCCATCTGATTGTACTTACAAAACTGCAGAATCTTTGTAATATTTTGCCTATGGCATTCTATGCTTTGTAATACTATATCTATTGCATTCTACCATCAATAGACCAATGGTACATTCAGAAAGATTCCTTATTCTAGAACAGTGGTTCTCAACCTGTGGGTCGGGACCCCATTTGGGGTCGAATGACCATTTCACGGGGGTCGCCAAACAACACAGTCCGCCATTTTTTTCCCCTTTTCCTTAGCTGTGCTACTCCCTTTTATTCTATTGGCTTTTGAAAGCCAATAGAATAGACTCTCTTGAATAGAGTCTAATTCTATTGGCTTTCAAAAGCCAATAGGAATTGTCCAGGCTGAGCCCGCCAAAAATCCCATTCTGTAAACAGTGCTGCACCAGTTGAGTAGTCCTCGACTTACGACCGGTTGAGTAGTTCTCGACTTACGACCGGTTGGGGGTCGCGACATTAAAAAGGTTGAGAACCACAGTTCTAGAAGAATCTGTTCTCTCTGGTTTTGCAGAGAATCATGTAGCTGGTTAATAGTTTCTCTCCTTAAAAAATTTCCATGGATGATTAAATAAATTTCTGCCCTTTTTTCTCTCTGACTATGAATCAGTAGCAATGTTTGAGGTGCTTAACTTTTCTGAAGTAGCTTGTAGAATAGCTGATTATTTTTTCCCTTGATAACTTTAACTGCCTATCTTAATATTGACTATATTTAATAATAAGTTGTGAGTATTGCTTTTTTAACCCTTCCTTCCTTCCTTCCTTCCTTCCTCTTAATTTGTTTTTGGTTAATCCATTATATTGTCAGTAAATATATTTGCCTGGTAAGCAAGCTCAAAATAGTTATTAGAAACCCCAAATAGCTTCATTGGAGGTTGCAGAAAAGGATGGAGATCTATGAAAATATATTTGCTTTCTAGATAGAGAGGAAACATAGATCTCTTTGTCTGAACTTATCCACAGGTCTATTTGCTTTCCTATTTGGATTTCCATTTGGTTATAACCCTAATTCTCCAGCATAATCAAGCCTTATTTTCTGTTATTCCTGAAAACATTCTGAGAAAAATGACCTATATGTCTCTAGAATTGCCTGGGGCAATATGGGTTCTAAAATGCCATATGCATTGCTCATGATTAGAGCTTCTTCTAACATAGTAGCATGGGTCTGATATTTTCCATTTTCTATACATACAGTACTCTACTGGGATGTATGTGTTGCAGATAAATCTTTGGATACTGTTATATAAGGATGCACAATAGTACCTAAAATTCTCAAATGACACTCCCCCCCCCAAATCAGATAATTTATACTTCCAAATACTTTTAAATGCGACTATTGGTAACATCGAACAGATTCTTTGGTTCCTGTTCAAATGAATGCTGTCTAGATTAGTCGCACTGGCTTTGATTCTGTATAGTTAAGAATAGACCTGTGGATTAACCTCCTGGGGTGATTCATTATGCTATTATACTGCAGTTATCTTCTGTGAACTGCCTGATATGAGTGGCTACTTCAGGAACATGCTGTATGCTGGCATCTGGCAATGTTTTTCTTTTGCTCTCAAAGCTTACTTCGAGTTGCTATGATAGTTGTGTTATAAACATGACACAACTTCTTTGAATCCCCTAAAGGTTTATATTGCTTCTCCTTGTTTGCAGGATCAGCTTTTACCACATCTGATAATTTGTCCCTCAGTTCCTGGGTCTCATCCTCTTCAGGTTTTCCTGGATTTCAACATCCACAGTCCTTGACTACTCTTGGTTCCAGTAGTGCCTCAATAGCCACTCCAATTCCTCACCCAATTCAAGGATCACTGCCTCCATTTAGCCGCCTGGGAATGCCTTTGACACCTTCTGCCATTGCTAGCTCAATGCAAGGAAGTGGCCCCACATTCCCATCTTTCCATATGCCCAGATACCACCATTATTTTCAGCAAGGGCCTTATGCAGCAATTCAGGGATTACGCCATTCTTCTACAGTGATGACACCTTTTGTATGACTGACCCCAAGCCAAGGAGAGGCAAGATTAGGCCCATAAGAATGATGAACATACAGTATTGCAAAGATCTGAGAAGAAACATTGTAAGAATTGAAGAGAAAAACCAGCCTGCATGAGACACGATGAAGGAATTAAAGTTACATGAAAAATGTGCTAATCAGAGTGGCTGGGAAGTCTAAACCTAATGTTGCCAAATGGATTCTGAATGTAGCAAGGTTTCCAATTATTTGCCAGATTATGTGAAAGTGCATCATAACCACTAGATGAAAGGCTGTGTTAATGCAATAGTATATAGCTTTGCTGTCCCAAAGATGCTTTTTCATGAGGCAACTGGACTCTGTTTTGTTTTGTTTTGTTTTGAAGACATTTCATTTCTCATCCAAGAAGTTTCTTCAGCGCTGACTGGATGGTGGGGAATAGAAGGATTTATACTCCTTGCAAACAGCTGGTCATCTGCATTCTTTTAGAGAGCCAATGAAGCCATCTGGAGGTTTATCTGTGTCATCAGGGTCACCTGAATAATGCAAATGGGTATAGAGCCTTCTTGGAACTGTTGAAAGGACTGTGTTGTAGACTGGAGATAAATGATGCCATATCCCTCCTCCTTTGTTGAGACAGGGCTGTTCAATTTTGACATAAATGGCCTCTTTGATCCCTCTTTCTAACAAGTGGTCCTCTCTGTCCAAAATGTGGACTTCGCAATCCATCTGCATTTAAAAGATGAAGGGCATTCTTTCAAATACAGCAAATGTCAACATCATTTATCTCCAGTCTATAATACAGTCCTTTCATCAGTTCCAAGAAGGCTCCACACCCATTTGCACTACTCAGGTGACCTTGACGGCACAGATAAACCTCCAAGTGGACACAGTGACTCTCTAAAAGAATGCAAATAACCAGCTGTCTGCAAGGAGTATAAATCTTTCCATTGCCCATCATCCAGTCAGAGCTGAAGAAGCTTCTTGGATGAGAAGTAAAACATCTTCAAAGAAAAACAAGAAAGTCCAGTTACCTCCTGAAAAAGCACCTTTGGGACAACCATGACCTGGATGACTGAGAATCTCCACAGACATAAAGCTATGCTGTTTCTAGATTTCCTTCTCAACAAAGGCAAAAGAAGCAATATTGGTGTAGTGATTTCATGGGGGGAGGGGGAAATGAGAATATTTAGTGATTTCATTTCTCTCTAGAAGAAACAGAAGGAAATGTTAGTCAGCATTACCCTCTCCCTTCTTTTTAATTCCTTAAAATATCAATTTCTAATTAGATGGGGACCACAAATCACTGGAATTCCTTCTACAGAATAGAATAGAGCTGGAAGGGACATTGCAGGTCTTCTAGTCCAGCCTGCGACTTAAGCAGGAGAACCTGCATCATCTCAGACAGGTGATTGTCCAGTCTCTTCTTAAAGATCTCCAGTGATGGGGCACCCATGATTTCTGGGGGTAGGCTATTCCACTGGTTGATTGTCCTCACTGTCAGGAACTTTCTCCTTAGATCCAGATTGCTTCTCTCCTTGATCAGTTTCCAACCATTGTTTCTTGTCCTTCCCTCTGATGCTCTGGTGAACAACCTGACCCCTTCTGCCTTGTGGCAGCCCCTCAGATATTGAAACACTGCTGTCATGTCTCTCCTACTTCTTCTTTTTAGACTAGCCAAACCCAAGTCCCACAGCCATTCTTTGTATGTGTTAGCTCCAGGCCTTTGATCATCCTAGTTCTCTTTTTTTGATTTTTTTCCCCCAAATTCACAACATCTTTTTTGTGATATGGTGACCAGAATTGGCTGCAGTATTCCAGGTGTGGTCTTACTAGGACTTTATAAAGCAGTACTAGTACTTTGTGTGAACTTGATTCCATGCCTCTGTTTATACAACCCAGGATTGTATTAGCTTTTTTGGTTGCTGCTGCACACTGCTGGCTCACAATCAAATGATCGTCCACTAGGACTCCAAGATCCCTCTCACAATTACTGTTTTTAAGCCGGGTGTCGCCCAATCTGTATTTGTGCCTTTGGTTTTTCCTGCCTAAGTGTAGGTCTGTAGGACTTTGCTTTTCTCCACATTGAAACTCATTTTGTTGGATAGGGCCCATGTTCAAGTTTGTCAAGATGTTTTTGGATCCTGAGTTTGTCTTCTGGAGTGTTGGCTATTCCTGACAGTTTGGTGCAGTGAATGAAAGTTGTGCAAGTGCAGCATGCACTTTTGCCAAAATAGAGCATGTATGCATGTATTAATCTTTTTAGAATTAAAATATTTGTACATAATTTTTCTCCAGTGCATTATGCCCAATCAGTTCTCCAGACATTGAATATACTTATTGGTGACAAAGCTAAAACAAACAAAAAACCCCATAAAGTTCAAAGTTATTTTAGTTCAAACTCAGCACTGCTAAAGTGCATTGACATAAATACTGTACATATGCACATAAAATGATACTTAACTGAGAAACATTTCTTGGAAAATTTTGGATTGAAGCAATTTAAATATTGGTTTCCTGGAATGGAACAAGATTTAAATCTCTTAAAGAAAATCTGAACATAAAATAACTTCATATTTTACCCTGAATCTTTTCACTTATTTAGCAAATCAAAACATTACATACTGTTAAATTTCTATCAGAAAATTATAGCAATGCAAAGGGATTGCAAAGCAGGGCAGACAAATCTAGAAGCAAGACTTCTAACTGAATATTTTAACTGGTATAGACCAGATTAATCTTACAGTAGCTTCTTTTTTTTTTTTCCCCATACTGCACTTATTCAGTTCAATGAACTCCCTGAAATTTCTTTCAAAGAATAAAAATTCTCACTGGCTGTTCTTATAGTTGCTTAGAGCAGATCTGCATTTGTCATCACCAATATGGTCAATCATTGCTTTCTGAGTGCAGGAATGGGTGACGTTTCTATTCCCAACCTCTTACAAATATATTCTGCACCAAAATGTTCCAGCTTTGATTCAAACTACTGTTTTCCAATTTGACTTAAACTTTTTAGAAGTACTGCATTCCATTCTAGTAGCAGACCCAACTTCAACTGGGTGTAGTGCCTGGCATGTCCCCTCCTCTTAGCATCTAATCACTTATCTAGGCAGCCATTTCCTGCTAAGCTGTTATGTTCTCTGCTTTAAAAAAAAAATCTTGTGGTTGATTCAGTAATGGCCTGATAAAGCAATGAACCATTCTGAATCTTAAATAGTCATATTCCATCCAACCCTTACGTTATCTAGTAAGTGCCCTTTTGATTTCTATTTTCCTTGCTTTACAATCTTTGCAGTTTCCTTTTCCTTATTTTTTAACATCTTAAAGTTGCAATATAAGATTTTTTTTGTAAAATGAACACCTAGTTCTTCCTTGCTGCAAAGTTTCCATTGACCTACAGAGGAATATATGAACAAAAGAAAATCTTATTCCTATTGCCTTAATTATTGTAGTATCAGACTAAAATAGTACCACAAGAGAAAAGGGGGAAAAAAGGAGAAAATTCAATATCAAAAGAGATGATGTGGGAAGTGGAAATGAAGGAATTCATGTGTATAAGTATCTGGGGAGGACAATAATGGCACAAAGATTAGTAAAGAGGGGAGAAAGCCCAGTCTCTGAAAACTCACTGTCCCTTCATTGATGGAAGGTAGGGAAACAAATATCAGATGTTTGTGGTAATCATAGTCCAGAGTGAACACTAACTAGGCCCTATTGCCAATTATTGCAATCTATGGGATACAAGCAACTTAGGTTGCAGTATGGAATTGCTCTTAGTTATAAACAATTAATATAAAATATATGAATATGTTGACTTCATATTTATCAACTTTTTGATGATCTGCAGTCTTTCTCAATTCTCAGTCTTCAATTAAAACATAAAGAAAAACATTAGGAGGAATTCCTTCCCACTGGGCTTTTGCAGCAGAAGTGCTCCTGAGGCCTGTTACACATGGGGGCTATTCTGTTTCTGGTGCAAAATAGCCTGCACATGATGTCATTGCCTATAATCAGGAAGCAACTCATAACAAGCAGTTCCAAATTTCAAACCTTCAAGTGAAGGTTTCCCTTCACTTTGGGAGGAACATTCCATTCCATTCTTGTCTCCTATTCTTTGATTTTGGCTAGGAGCCTGACTTACCATCATGCCTCTCTTAACAGATAGAATGTAAACTAATCCTGTGGAAGGGGCAGGGAAAATCAGAGGATATGTTTATTCTCTTTTTGGTGTCAGCTATCTAACCCAACAAGTCTGAAATGTGATAAATCTACATTTTAGGGACGATAATGATTGGAGAAAGTGGTTCAAACATTTCTCCTTCTGCTGTGAGGAAATTGTCTACCCAATTTCCTTGCCCACAAATTTAGACAGAAACGCCCTTTGAGGCCAGCTCTACTTTTAGGTGAGAAGTCACCTGCTCATTTTGATATTATACTCTGAAAAAAAGATTGCTAGCACCCAACTGCAATTCTGGGCCTTTTAAAAATGCAAACAGGATTATTAAGGCAAGAATGAAAAACAGCTCTACCAAAGAGAAACACAAATATTAATATTCACAAAAAGATGATCTCCAACTAGACCCATTATTGCCAGTTTAATAGAATAAAAGGTCTCTTTCTCACTGATAGATATTTCTAGACAATAATTTTACAGAAAGCTGGAAGTTAAGGTCATTATTTTAGGTTTCCTTTATATTCCTTTACATTAGAATTTTAATATTTTAAATTGAAGAGTATCAAAGGCCAATATAGCTTCTTAAATGAAAGCTTTCTTCCTATCAGGCATTTGTATCTCAAGTCTCCTAGCCGAAAAGCCAGAGTTGATAGAAATGGAATTCCTGACTCACACTTCTACTACATTTTTTTCTGAAATCTTTAGTATAGGAAGAATAGGCAACCTATACTTCCAAGCTCCATTTTGAGAGTTCAAAGATAATGTCTCTGAAATTCAGGAGCAAAACACCTATTAATACCATCACAATTGTTTGGTGACAAAAATTGAAATATAGGTAAGTTATATTAGACTTAATTCTTCCCTATTTAATTATGCTCTTCAAAATAACAAAAAAGGTCCAAAATTTTTCTCTATCTCTTCAGTGATGTATTATGCACCTTATGACTTTTAGCCATTTTGTCCATGAGGAGTTACTGGCTTTGGAATAAGTTTTAATTCTAATTACACTATTCATAATTTTTAAAATGCTTTCCCCTTATCTTTGGCAGAATAATTTTTAAAAGATTTGAGTTTTGACTGAATAAGATTAGCATCTCATAGACTGACTCTATTCTTACAAAGTTTTTGTCCAATTCCATTGTTGCTCTCTGGATGCTATAAAAGATGATGAATTAAATGGTTTTGCTGTGGATTGAACATTGCTGTGTTTGAGTTGTTTGGAAATCTGTGGAAATGGTAACAGGAATTCAATGACTGA